CCGTAGTAGTCTTAGGCAGCAGTAGTAGTAGTAGTAGTAGTAGTAGGAGTAGTAGTAATATTAGTATAGTAGTAGTAGTAGTCATAGTCGTAGTAGTAGTAGTAGTAGTAGTAGTAGTAGTAGTAGTAGTAGTAGTAATAGTAGTAGTAGTAATAATAGTAGTAGTAGTAGTAGTAGTAATAGTAGTAGTAGTAGTAGTAGTAGTAATAGTAGTAGTAGTAGTAGTAGTAGTAGTAGTAGTAGTAGTAGTAGTAGTAGTAGTAGTAGTAGTAGTAGTGGTAGTAGTAGTAGTAGTAGTAGTAATAATCGTAGCAGTAGTAGTAGTAGTAGTAGTAGCAGTCAAGCTAGCGAGCTCCGAGCGAGGTCCAAGCATGGCATGCCCTCCCCACCCGCCCTCCAACAACATAAGAAGCAAAGCTGTCACAACTGGGGGCCGAAGTCACACCGGCCAGCCGGTTTGGTACAGCTGATGCGGCCGCGATGGCGGTTGCCGACGGGAACTGGCGAGCGCGTGTTGAATGCCGCGCACGCATTGCCAGACGAGTCGAGAATGGCCCGGTACACCGCAGGAAGCCAGAGGTGTCCGGATGAAACCCGACGGTCTGACAGGACACTCCAAAGCATTTTTTGTGAAAAAGCATTAGGTTTTTGATGTTTTTATGTTGAAATGCTTGCAAACACACGGTGTTCGGTAGGATTCTGACATGAACGCGCGAGTGTGCTCTTTGTGGTATTTTTCGCACAGGATTCGCGGCCTGGGTGCATGACAGAGCATCGCGAGTGCACCGCGCGATGACGTGAAATCGCTGGATTTGACCGAATTCTTAAGATTCCAATGGTTTTCCTATGATTTCAGCAAGAGAGCCCGGGCGGGAAATTTGTACAATTTTTGTGAAAAGCTTTGGGTTTTTGATGTTTTTATGTTGAAATGCTTGCAAACACAAGGTGTTCGGTAGGATTCTGACATGAACGCGCGCGTGTGCTCTTTGTGGTTTTTTTTGCAATGGATTATCGCCGTGGACGACAAGACGTCCATGTCGAGAGGAAAAAATAAGAAAAATGTTGATTTTGTATTGTTTTTTACAGGTTAGGATGGGACCACCCGGATGCGGCCCCTATCTGCCGGCCTGAGGGGGGAGTAGGAGTATATTCTAATAAGGAATAAGGATAGGAGTAGTAGAAGCAGTAGTGGTAGCAGTAGTGTTAGTAGTCGTAGTTGTAGTAGTAGTGGTAGTAGTAGTTGTAGTTGTGGCAGTCGTCGTCGTAGTGGTAGTAGTGGTAGTAGTGGTGGTAGTAGTAGTAGTAGTAGTAGTAGTAGTAGTAGTAGTAGTAGTAGTAGTAGTAGTAGTAGTAGTAGTAGTAGTAGTAGTAGTAGTAGTAGTATAAGTAGTAGTAGTAGTAGTAGTAGTAGTAGTAGTAGTAGTAGTAGTAGTAGTAGTAGTAGTAGTAGTAGTAGTAGTAGTATTAGTAGTCGTCGTAGTAGTCTTAGTCGTAGTCGTAGTAGTAGTAGTAGTAGTAGTAGTAGTAGTAGTAGTAGTAGTAGTAGTAGTAGTAGTACTAGTAGTACTAGTAGTAGTAGTAGTAGTAGTAGTAGTAGTAGTAGTAGTAGTAGTAGTAGTAGTAGTAGAGTAGTCGTAGTCGTAGTCGTAGTCGTAGTCGTAGAAGTAGTAGTAGTAGTAGTAGTAGTAGTAGTAGTAGTAGTAGTAGTTGTCGTCGGTGTTCGAGTGTAGCCGTAGTAAGTGACGCTGAAATATTCGCAGTCGTAGAAGTAGTGGTAGTTCTGCTTTTAACGCAAATCGAAGGATGATGAATTATGCCAGCCAGCCCGAACGAGCCAGAGGGCCCCGCCCACTCCAACCCTCCCCCAGGACTTTGGCACTCGCGCGCTCGCGCGCCCAGCGAGCGAACGGAAAGCGCTCCCGCGCGCGCGCCGCTCGGCTTTCGACGATTTGACAATCAGAGATCATGGGCTTCGCACAGGTAGGAGCGGACCCTCGGGGAATCCCCGATAGGAGCTTCGGCAAGAACGCCATTCAGTCCATTCCCGCGGCCAAGTTTCGATCGGACGAGCGAAGGCAACAGATGCGCCGCGCAAAAGCGGGATCGCAGCTTCCAGGCAAAACATGCGTGGTTTTTGGACAGAACTTGCTTGGCCTTTGGCGTTGGAGGTAGGATAATGATGATGATGATGATGATGATGATGATGATGATGATGATGATGATGATGATGATGATGATGATGATGATGATGATTATGATGATGAGGCTAGTGGGGATGACGATGATGGTGATGGTGATGGTGGTGGTGGTGGGGGATGATGATGAGGAGGTGGAGGAGGAGAAGGAGGGCGAGGAGGAGGAGGAGGAGGAGGAGGAGGAAGAGGATGAGGAGGAGGCGTCGGAGAAAGAGGGCGGGGAGGAGGATGAGGAGGATGAGGAGGATGAGGAAGATGAGGAGGAGGGATGGAAAGATGAGGGAGGATAGAGGATGAAGAGGAGAAGGGGGAGGAGGAGGCGGAGGAGGAGTGAGGCATGGAGGGAGAGAGGGAGGGGGGGAGGGAGTGAGAGGGGAGGGGATGGAGGGGCCCAAGGGTTGTGGGTACCGATCGCGCCGGGGACTGATTCTGTGCTTTGGTGCAGTGGCCGCCAGGGGGGACTTCGAGAAGTGCGGCGCGATCGACCGACTGAACATGCCCAAGGAACCGAGAGTTCTACCGAGCTTCCCTCCTCCTTTTTCCTCCTCCCTTTCTCCTTCCCCCCCCCTCCCTGCTTCCTCCTCCCTCCCCCCTCCTCTCTCTTTTATCCTCCTTCCCCGCCCTTACACCCCCCTAGTGGACCAACTGGCCAGCCGTGCAGAGTATATGGCCCTTTGCGGGGCTGAGCTCCTGGCAAGCCACGCCAGAGGTTGGAAACACGTGGCTGCACAAGTGAATTGGGCGCATGACGAGGCTGCAATGTTCTTGCTGGGGATGCTCCCCTCTGCGTCATGTGGCACAGGTGGGTTCGTCCGCGCCTTCCTGGAGACCCGCGTAGTGACGCGCGTGGCAGCCAAGGTGGCCCAGCGCATTATCCCAGCCTGGGCGCAGATACGAACGAAAGCGTGCGGCAGCAAGCAAGGCAGCACCGCTTGAGCAGCCACATTCTCATGAAGCAGCTTGATTTGTTTGGTAAGCTTGGTGGCATGCCGGACTCAGCAACTCGTGATACAGTCTTCGCGCCCGGAAGCCTGAACCCGCCCGTCTTGCACGGAAGGCGTGCAAGAGGTCGTCCAAGATTGACATGGGTACGGGTAATGCACGAGCACGCATCGCAAGCATGTTCGGCCTCTGGCACATCTGTGCAGGCTGAGCTCGGCCCTGTCTACAGTAGAGCTCGGTGGAGAAGCATTGCCCAGACGTACGTTTTCTGAAATTAGATGTGCCCACGGCCTGCTGCTGGCTGCCCTCCCCCCTCTCCTCCTCCCCCTCCTCCTCCTCCTCCTCCTGCCCTTTTTAGCCGGCAGGGTCTCTTTGACTGAAGACTTGCACACCAGAGGATTTATTAACCGCATTTCCCTGCGTGTGCGCGCTGATTCATTAATTCTCCGACTTGCTCAACGCACGGTCTGCCCTCTAGGGGGCCGCTCCCCTTGCCAGAGTTGGCGCGCAGACCGCCATGCCATCCATGCCATGCCATACGTCTTCTGAGAGTTTATGTATCAGAACTGCTGAATTCAATTCCGTGCTGTTTAGCCGATGCGCCGTGCGGCGCGGCTCCACTGACCGAGGGCGCAGATACGGGTGCTCCCGCGTCAAACCCCGATTGCTCCGGCGATGCGTAAGCCGGATGGAACGTGGCTGCACCACGCAGCCGCGGTCGCCCGCACGTTTGGGGTGGACGCCCCGGCCGTCTCCCAGGGCATCGCAGCGCCCCGCGGCTCGTCGCGCCGAAGTCTGCGGCTGGGCGCGACGCTGCGTGGTTCCGAAGGTTAGGGAGGCAGAGCGCGTCTGGTTCTGTGAGCAGCTCGCCCTCCTTAGCGACGAGGGGCTGGTCCCACTTGTGGAGCTGCTCCCGTTGCACTACGCCTGGCAGGAAGCCCTGCGCTTGTCCCCCTGGAGTGAAACCATGTGGCGCTTCCACCGGGCGTGGTGCGTGGCCAGGATCACGGCCGCGGTGTCGGTCGAAGTCGGGGGTCTCCTGGCTTGTCGCTTGCCGGAGGTGTGCCCTCTGTGTCGCAGGCGGCAAGAGGGGTTAAAGCATTTGCTGGTGGAGTGTCCATTCACCGAAGCCCGTCGTTCAGTGGCACTGAGTGAGTGGACCCCCCCCTGCCCTGCTGCTGTGGGGGCTGTCGGACGCCGCGGAAACCTCCGAGCTTGCGGCGAAGATTTGGTATGTGGGCCTGGCGAGCGCGGCCTTTGTCCACGCTTGTGGGGCGCCCTGGTGAAGATGTGCCGCGTGCCGTCCGCGCCGCGTGGTATTCCTCCTCTTCCTCCTCCTCCTCCTCCTCCTCCTTCTCCTCCTCCTCCTCCTCCTCCTCCTCCTCCTCCTCCTCCTCCCCTCTCCTGCTCCCTCCCCCTCCCAGGCCCTCTCGGGGTGCCACGTTCCGCGGCCTTGCGGGATGTGACCCAGCCGGGCCAGGTGCGGGTGCATGCGCCGTCCAGCCTGGGACGCTTCGTGCCCCCTCGGACCGGCAGGGGCGCCACTGTGCTGGGTGCTCGGCGGCCTCGAGGGCCCCAGGACCACCGGAGGCGCTTCTGGGGGACGTCAAAAGCTCAGGTGAAAAGCTGAACGCTTCGCTGGCGAGGCGTTCGGCTTTCCACGCAGGCTTTCTGTGGCGATCCCTCGGTGCCGCCTTGGGATTCGACTCAGCAGGGCCGCCAGGGTATGACGGGCGGCTCGCGCAGGAGTCAGTCGGATGTTCCACTGTGCCGAGGTAAGTTGTGATGTACATAACACCTCATGGAAGAGCCAGCCACATGAAGATGTAGCCAGCTCCGCTACCAAGTGATAAGTAAGGTTACAGGGCTTGACCATGAGGTAATAAGCTGAGAGCCCTACTCTTATGATAACGTCGGCGACGTATCGAGGTATCCCACAACTCATCCATTGATGGCAAGCAAGACGAGAGGTAAGAGAGAAGCCATGGGATCGGAAGATGGATTCTAGAAGGACGTGGCCTTTGTCCGTTGCTAGGAGCCGCAGATAGAGGTACACAGGGCAGTATACCTGGCACATCGGGCAGGGAAGCTGGCCCGCCAGGCCGTCTTCCCGCCTCCGCCGCGCCCTGCTGCGTCCGCGCCGCGAGGCTCGCGGCGGCAGAGGCGGGTGCCAACAGGCCGCCCGTGGGCGACAGGCGGCTCACGCCCGCGGTGGACTCCGTGCTGGAGCATGCTCCGGCCGCCGGCGCCTCCATGCGGAGGAAGATTCAAAAATTATCAAAAAACATAGTCGGGGTACGATTTTTCTGAAGCATCTTTGGACCACTCTCGAAGATCCTTGGGGGTATTTCTTACTTTTCGTTCAAAAGCCGCCTGTAGGGGGACATGCACGACCTGCAGCACGCACCACCAGGGGTCCGTCGGGGCCGCCGCCGAGGCCGCCGCGGGGCCTCCCTGCGCGGACGATTGTCGTCCACGGTTTCGGGCGCCTCTTGCGCGAGGAGGCGCGCGCCGGGGGCCCCTCGGGGCCGCCGCCGCGGCCGCCGCGGGGCTTCCCCTGCAGGGACGACCTCGTCCGCGCGGCTACCGCGTCCGACGGGTCCCGAGGCCTCCGTGCTGCGGCCATCGCTGGCTGGAGGAGGCTCTGCCATGCCGCGGGGGCAGTCCTCCGGGGCGCCCCTTCGGGGTGCCCCCCGCCACCCCGCCGCGCTGTCCCGTAGGTCCTCCCAGGGCGGTTGGCGCTCGCAGAGAGGTGGGCCTGCCCCGAGGGCCTTCCTGCTCCGCGCAGTCCGACTGCGTAGTCCTCCGCTGCCTGCTTCTTCCCCTCGTCCTCCCTCCTCCTCCCTTCTCCGTCCTCCCTCTTGCGCCTGCTGCTCCTCGCTCCCTCCTCCCTGTCGGCCCAGAGAGTTCGAGCGTTCCAAAGAGTTGAAGACATGACACTTTGCGGTCGTGAGGTTCTGAGGGTTGGGCGAGTCAGCATGAATAGCTGTTGCGAAGTTGGTATGCTGCAGACAGCGGTGCTAGGTTTTGTATATCGCTTGGGAAACTCATCGGGCAGCCTAGTGTCCCTCCAGTACACCCACTTTCTCAAATTCAGCTGGATTTTTCGTGGGGCGCGTTTGACCGACGCCCCTGCCGAATCTGCGGCGTTCAATGTTTCGTTTGCAAGATCGTCTTCGACCCATCCCCCGCCAAAGTAAACATTGACAATGGTTTGGTTTCGCTCTCGGGTGTAAAGCGCGCAGCGCCTCCGCCATATAAAAAGATAGTCAACTTGTCATTGTCGCTTCAAGGGTATTTTGGAGCGCCGCCATTGCCGAATATCAGGTTGCAGAAAATAAAAACTTGACAGTACGGGATGCTGCTGCTGTTGCTGCTTTTCCTTGCCCACGGGACGAGACGAGACGAGGCTCTTCCTCGCGGGGGCGAGGACGACAATGGCTACCTCAAGGGCGTTGCCTTCATCCAGTACGCCGATGAGGCGGGCATGAAGAAGGCTCGTCTGCCCATCCCCTTCGGCATCCCAGTATGATGATGTCGGTCACCCTTGTCTCGCTTCCTCCTCCTCCTCCTCCTTTGGCCCTTCGCTTTATGATTCAATGCCACATTATCTTTTGATCCACCTGACGGCTGGCAGCCACGCTAGTGGACCATCCAGCTTTCCTGACGCAACGTCGTTCGGAGTAAAGTCCTTCGTGACCTGATGCGTGCGCACCAGAGGATTCATCAACCGCGCTGGGCTTCGATGCGTTGCTGGGTAAAGAGCAGTATGATGATGAGGTGAAGGCGGACGGTGGACAATAACGATTAGGAGGATGAGGAGGAGGCGCAGGCACCCAGGAGTTTACGTCCGAACCCGTGATGTTGCGACGTTCTCCTGCACAATCTATCGCAGCAGATGGGGTCCGGAGCGAGCAATTTCGAGTGCGGCCGCTTCTCCGCCCGCTCCCCGCTCACAGTGCCTCCTCGTCCTTCTCTCCTCTGGTGTCGACGGCGAGCCCAAGGGGGGGGGGAAGGTGACAAAGGGTGGGCCTTCTCAGAAGGCTCGGACGCACCCTGGCCTTCTGAGAAGTCTTGCAAGCCTTCCCCGAAGACGCAGGAAGCTTCCCAGAAGGTCGCAGGGCTCCTGAGGCGCCCCGCCGCCTTCTGAGAAGGCCTTGTCCTTCTCACTCCCCCCCTGGGCGCGCCACTGAATTTGGTTTTTGGGTCGTAACTCGACTCTCCGGTTGCCGTTCGGGACGATCCGGGCACCCCCAGAACGCTCTCGGCGAGGCGCAGTCGCTGGAACGCCTCTCGAGGGCGGAAAGCCGCCAGGAGACCACGAACACTCCCGAAAACCTCGACCCCGAAGCTACGAAACCCGACCCCCCCGTCGCTCGCCTCCGAGATTTGGGGGGGGAGCTCAGGGACCGGGGGCGAGGAGTCGCCTGCGCGGTTGCCGCAAAGCTTCCCGCCCGCGACGGCGTGGGCCCGTTGGCCTCTGCCGAGGCGCGCGAGCCGCTCCGTCCCCCCGAGCGGTGCCCTCCGCCCTCGGGGGGGGCCTCCCCCGCAGGCTGCCGAGGAGCCCGCCCTCGCTCGCCGCCGACGGTGGGCACGAGGTGGAGTTTGGTAGCAGACCATGGGAACCTCCTCCTCCTCCTCCTCCTCCTCCTCCTCCTCCTCTTTCTCCTTCTCCTCCTCCTCCTCCTCCTCCTCCTCCTCCTCCTCCTCCTCCTCTTTCTCCTCCTCCTCTCCTCCTCCTCCTCCTCCTCCTCCTTCTCCTTCTCCTCCTCCTCCTCCTCCTCCTCCTCCTCCTCCTCCCTCTCCTCCTCCTCCTCCACCTCCTCCTCCTCCCCCTCGGTGTGCCGCCGAGCTTGCGTTAGGCGTCGCCCTGGCATGCCAATAGACCCTGTGTGCGTCGCCCTCCCCCCCCCTCCCACAGTGGCGAATCGCACGCTTGCTCGGAACTCTGCTGTAGCATGTGGGGCGTTCCAAACAGGGCCTTGCCTTCGAGGATCGAAGGAGTGTCATCTCTTCCGCCGCGGAAGACGGCGGAAGGGCGGCGGATTTTTTACGAGGCCGCCTCCGCCGGCGGAAGCCGGCGGAAGGGCGGCGGAAGGCGGCGGAAGTAAAGAAAAGCCTTGGCGGCTCAAGGACGCTGCTCGCACAGGCGGGCGTGGGGTCGCAAGTCCCCACCAGGCCACTTCCTTGCTTCCCTGGCCATGGCGTTGCCTGCTGCCTCCTGCTGACGGAGCGGGCCAGGGACATCGGCGCTGGTGCCTGCGAGGTGAGCGCTGCACGGTTGCCCAGCCGTGCTGGACCACATCGACAGTCTGCGATTACTGCCTGATCGTGGGAGCTTGGGTGTATGGGGAATAAGAGAGCCCTTCGACGTGCACTGAGGCTGGTGGCAGTGACTGGAGCGTGCTGGTATCGTGGCCAGCACTATACTCGCGCTTCGGCGGCTGGCCTGGCTGCAGCTCATGTTCGTGCCGAACCCTTTGCCACCCCGACCCCAGCGGCCCCGTCGGGCCTGAGGACACCGAGATCGTCGAGTAAGACACAGACTATCACTGTCTGGAGCTACAACACAGAGTCCCTTGTCGTCGCCGACCGTCTTGGCGAGCTTCTTCGCCTCGCTCGTGAGAGACAGGCTGCGATATGTTGCTTTCAAAACACTCTCATGACGTTGAGTATCGCGTGGCAATGCGACGGGTACCATATATTTCCTACGGCGAGGACCTCATCAAGAGCAAGGGATGGATGTCTCATTGCAGTCAACAAGCGTTTCTTTGGGGAAGACGAGATACGGTGTGTCCATGAGTGGATCCCTGGCCGCCGTCAGGGTGTACGGCTCAAACGAGATGGACCGCGTCCACGTGATTTGTATGTACTCAATGGATACCCGTGGACCAACGAACCACCGAAACCGCCGCATGGACAGCCGATGCCAGACCCAGCCGTGCATTATAGGGCCCAGGATGCTTTCTGGCAACAGTGCTCGGCCACGATATCCAGTGTCCCAAGGCGCTCCGCGCTCGTCTGGTGCCTTGACGCGAATGCCTCGATTGCTCCCTCGCCACCCAACATAGGCTTCGCGGGCTCGAGGAGGCTCCAGAACAGAACGAATCAAACTGATGCTAACTTTCTCTCAGTACTTCAAAACCTTGGGCTGATGGCGCTCAATACTTTTGGTAAGGCGACTCGCTTCAATTCCACGTCGTGTCATACGGATGGAAGGAGCTGGTTGACCATCGACTACATATGTGTACGTATGCAGGGAGGATATGGCCATCGCAGTTACCCGCTTCAGCATCTACCAGTGAGTCTTGGAGGGTATCGTGACCACCGCCCTGTGGAGGCAAATATATATGCGGGACTTCGGTGTAGGCGTGTACCGAAGAAAGGGACAATGCGTTGGGATCGTGCTCTCATCATGCAGGACTTGAAGATTCTTAATAGGGCACGCAATCAGAAGTCGGAGAATCCAGCAGCCCCCATCCCATTTCGAGTTGCCCACATGCAAGATGCTGTTGCCCAGAGGATAGCAGAGCTCCGACTCGCAGAAGACTGGCAGAGCATATGCGGACCAGGACGACGTTATCCAGACACCTCGGCCTATGTCAACGCCCTCGAGAGCTCCCTGGTTGACGCCGCCGTAGGCATTTACTCGACGCAGCCGGCCGACCAGGAGCGACCAGCTCTCCCAGAGGACATCTTGCAGGCCATCGCCAAGAAGCAGTTCTACCAACGGTTGATGGCCAAGACGCTCCCAGACAGCTGGCTCCACAAGTCGCTCCACCACCAGTGCGCGTGCGTTGCCAAGATTGCGAAGAAGGCAGTTCGATCACACAAGCGCCAGCTGACGGCCGAGCTGGTGTCCCAGGCGGAGCCCGCGGATCGCCATCAAGATATTCGCCAGAGTTATGCCATAATACGACGCCTTGCACCAAAGCCTTCTGTGCCAGCGATGACGGTGTTCAACCCAGAGACAGGCGCGGTATGCTTCGACCATGATGAGGACATGGCCGTGAGAGCCAAGGCGTTGTGCGCCATCTTTCGTGCTGACGAGGTCACGTCACCCCTGATGCACGCCGCCCCGCTCACGGACTTGGATGGCCCGTCCGCGGAGATCACGGAGTCCAACACTGAAAGGGCGGTCATGAAGCTCCCGAACTTCAAGGCGGCCCCGACGCTGAAGTGGTGCGACCCCAACGGCATCGGTCACGGCGGACGGCGACCCTACTCGGATGGAGCCGTGGCTGAACTATGGAAGATGTGCCTCGAGTCTGTCGCAGGCCCCCTAGCCCAGGTCTTCCAGGCGTGCCATCATATGAAACAAGTTTCTCAGCGCTTCAAGGATGGGGGGATCGTTTCGATTCGGAGGCCCAAAGGGGACGGGCGAAATGCCATGGATCACTACCGCGCGATCAACCTCATCAATCATATGGGCAAAGCTTTCGCCAACGTTGTGTGCATGCGAGAGCTCCGCCAGTGCGCAGGCCGCCTGTCGTGTACGCAGTTCGGAGCCCTTCCCAAGAGATCCACACGTGATGCTGTCGTGATCGTCGATGAGATCATACGCCGCTTCCGTGTTTGCAGGGGCCGCGCGAATTACCCAGCTGCCATCTTGGTGGCAGCCCTCGCCGACCTTGAAAAAGCATTCGCTCTTTTGCCTCGCGAAAAATTTTGGGATTCCCTCGATAAGTTGGCGATCTCTAGGGGTGTTCGGCTCACGTTTGAGGCCCTCCATGAGGGCGCGTGCTATATCTTGAGGGGCATCAAAACGAACCAGCCGTGCAAAACCCTTCTGGTACGTCGAGGGGCCCGCCAGGGCAGCGTTGAGGGCCCGTCGTTGTTTGTCGCCATCTACGATTTCATCGCCCAGGAGATTTCCAACCTGCAGGGGGCTCACGGCTTCGAGGGCGTCTCGGTTTTTTCGGATCCAACGTTGACGAACATAAGGGGCCAAGCTGTACTGGAGGAGGAGGAGACTATCAAGGAGGACGTTTCGCAGGTTAAGTTCGTCGATGACCTGATCGGTTTCGCTGTTTTCGAGAGCGATCGGGTCTCGGAATACCTCCAGTTCGTGAAGTCGGTGATCGAGGCCGGTGGGATGACGATGAACGTGCCCAGACTTGAGGTGTTGATGGTTTCGTCGGGGACGGGGTGTAAAGATATTCGTAAAGACATCGTCAACCAAACCACAGGCGTGACCATGAACGACTCCGAGGACCGCAGGGTCAAAGTTCATGCTCAGAAGTCGGTAAAATATCTGGGAGTCCGCATCCGAGATGACGGCTCGATGTCTGCGGAGCTTAGGCAACGCCTGCTGGGAGCTGATGCTGCCCGCGGACGCCTCTCCCAACGGGCCTTCAAGGGGGGCCCCAGCTACCGTCTCAAGATCCGCTTGTGGGCCTCGCTGGTTCGCTCTATTGCCCTTTATGCTATGGAAATTGCGATACTCACCCAGACTGAACTCCAGAGGTTAGAGCGCTGGCAAACCAAGAAGCTTCGTCACCTGCTCCGATCCCCTGCGCGCGTCAGACATGTCCCGAACGAGGCGATCCGACGGAAGGCCAACGTCTACACTGTCACATCGACTCTGTTGTTCCGAAGGCTGCGTTGGTGGCAGAGAGTGATATCTCCTGGACTTGCCCCTCAGGAGCCCGAGTGCGACCCCGCGAAAGCGGTGAGAGCGGTCCTGTTTGGACGGCTATGTTTTGAGAGGAAAGTGGATCCCAGGAAACCCGTGGGGCGGAGTTCGCTTCTGCTACATGATCTGCATGCGCTATGGTCTTCACTCTCTGCTGCCCGTCGTGCTGGGCCCCCCGAAGCCCCTGAACAAGAATCAGCTGTGTCGAAACCGTGGCTGACTTGGCTCTGCGGACTCGAGGAGCATGATCTTCGGGCTGTTCTTTCCTTTCGCGCGGATTGCGATCTTGGGCCTGTCGGGGAGGAGCGCCCAGATGGCACTAGGTATGAGATGCCCCTGTGCCCAGAGTGTGGATTTAGGTGCAGAGATCCCAAAGGCCTCGACAGCCATCGACGTTAGAAGCGCGGTCTTGTTGCAAACCGCCTGTCTCTTCCGCAAGTCTGCCTCGACAATATTGCTTGCCCGCGTTGCCAGCGGAAGTTTACCAGGACAGATGCGCTTCTCCGACATATTGAGGTTCCACGATGTCCTGCGTTGAAAGCTGCTGGGGCTCAGGTGGCTCTTCCCGTTCCGCAGCCTCCACAGACCCCCAGCACTCGCCGCGATGTTCGCCCCGCTGTCGGAGGTGGTCGGCAAGAAGAGGGGCGCGGGGGGGGGGGGGGCGAGGAGAGGACAGTGCAGGGCGAGGTCCCGTTGGAGGGGCCCCGCCGCCAGCTGATCATGGCGATGGCCAAGCTGGTGCTGCAGCACGAGGGCGACCTGCGCAACCAGAGGCGCGACGTGAACGTGGTCCTCACGCTGCGCGCCGACGCGGAGCTCCAGCTCGCCCTCGAGGAGGGCGTCGACAAGTACAACCAGGCGGGCATGGAGGCGAGGGACAAGGAGACGGACGACTTCAAGGGCCGCCCGTGGGGCAAGCGCCCCGACGCCCTGATGAAGATGGTGCTCTTCCGTGTGTCGGAGGCCCTGAAGGGCAACGAAGAGGCGCTCAAGGCCGCCATCGCTCAAGGTCCAGAACCAGAGGCCACGCTCCAGGCCGTGAAGCTCATCGCCGAGTGGGGGGCCAAGATCCAGGGCCGCGACGCGATCTTCCACGCGACGCGCTGCTTCGTGATCGCCGCGGAGGACGCGGACGGCAACGAGGTGAAGAAGTGGATCTTCGCCGTCGTGCACCGCCGCCCGCTCCGCCAGGCGTTCGAGCAGCTGCGGGGCAACGGCGGGGGGAAGGCTGTGGGGCTGCTGTTCGAGAGAGACGCAGCTCCGCGCAGCCAGGCGGCGAAGAAAGTAGAGAAACTGGCCTTCAAAGAGGGCAATGGGGGTGAAGGGCAAGGGCAGGGCCAAGCGCCAGAAGAAGTGGGGGCCTCGAGTCGGCCCAGCAGCTCCCAGACGGTGTTAACACAATTTTTTACCCTCTCATCTCGAGGGGGTAGCACGTTACTTTTTGCCGCGGGGTTCGTTGGCTCGTTTTGTGGCCGTCGGCCCCCCCTGGGCCTAGAGGGGCTCGGGGGGTCCTCCTCGCAGTGCCACCCCCTCAGAGGATGGGGTGCGCGAGGCGGGGGCCGAGGTGCTCCAGGGCCCTCCTGGCCCTTCCTCTTGGCCTCGTTTCGTCTCGTGCATTTCAGGGGCTCCGATCGAACAGCTCGATCGCGCCGATGCCCGATCTGTTTCGGCACGGTAGGTCGTGTTACTAGCCCAACACGAGGCCTCCAGAGCTGTGGACGAGAGGGGGCAGTGACTTGTGTGTGTGTGTGTGGAAGTAAAGAATGCGCCCCCAATAGATGAACATGCTTTTGGTTTAAGGGTTTCCGGAATCGCCCACGTGCTCAGTGGCGGGCGCTTTCTGGCCACGCCGCTGGGTTACGATGTTCGGTAGCCAATCATGGCAGCTTGGTATACCCTCTTAATTTCGACTTTGGTGTCGATTGGCGTAGATATTGGCGTTTGGGAGTCGATGGGATAGCGCCGACTTAGCGTCGGTTTAGCGTTGATAGGCGTCGATTTAGCGTCGATTAGCGTGGATTTAGCGTCGATTAGCGCGGATTTAGCGTCGATTTAGCGTTGATTAGCGCGTCGATTCGCAAGAGTCGACACGATGGTATTGGAGGCTCGAGCGCTGGGGTCACGATGTGCCATGTGTAGGACTGTGGTGCTGTATGATCTGGTCGGGCGCACGCCTCCAGGGAAGACGCGTCGCCCCCCCCATGGTGGCGACGCGCGCGCTCACAAATCTTCTAGCACGTGCTCGGTGGTGGGCGCTTTCTGGCCACACCGGTGGGGCAACGAAATTCGAAGGAGGAAAAATGGCATGAACATAAACCTTTGTGGCGCTCCGCGCGGATTTTGTTGGATCCGCGCCTGGGCCCCCCTGGCGGCGCCTCCAGCGCCGCCCATGGCGCGCTCCGCGCGCCGGGGAGGGGGGTCCGGCGCGGATCCGAGAAGTCCGCGCGGAACGCCAAAAGTTAATGTTTGTGCCATTTTTGTTGTTGATCTTCTTCTTCTTATGCCATGTGCAAGGCTATTGTGTTACATGATCTGGTCGGGCGCAGGCCTCCCGAGGAGGACGCGTTGTTCCCAGTCATCCTGTGGTGTTGGGTCCTCGTTTTGAAGAGACAGCGCGGGCTCCTCGTCCTCCTCCTCCTCCTCCTCCCTCTTCCTCCTCCTCCTCTTCCTCCTCCTCCTCGTCCTCCTCCTCCTCCTCCTCCTCCTCTCCTCCTCCTCCTCTCTCCCCCCTCCCTCCCTCCCCTCCCCTCCCCTCCCCTCCCCTCCCTCCCTCCCCTCCCCTCCTCCCCCTCCCCTCCTCTCCTCTCCTCTCCTCTCCTCTCCTCTCCTCTCCTCTCCTCTCCCTCTCCTCTCCTCTCCTCTTCCTCTCACTCTCCTCTCCTCTCCTCTCCTCTCCTCTCCTCTCCTCTCCTCTCCTCTCCTCTCCTCTCCTCTCCTCTCCTCTCCTCCTCCTCTCCTCTCCTCTCCACTCCTCTCCTCTCCTCTCCTCTCCTCTCCTCTCCTCTCCTCCTAGTTCCCTTAGGGAGCGCAACCGAGGGCGGGGCTCACAACTGCGGAAGTCACAACTTCATCAGGTTTGGTCCTTCGCCAGGGTAATTCTAGTATGTCTTTCCGCGTCCCACTGCTGGTGCATTGGGGTCCGGGGCTCCTTCGCCGCCCGGGCGCACTTGGCAGGCCTTGGAGTACCACGGGTGCAAGTACCACGGCTGGGAGCTGGTGGTCCACAAGGCCAGGCTGGGCGGGCGGGGGCCGCGCTCGCTCTTCGGGAGCAAGCTTGGGGGTCGATGGGCTCAGGGGGGGGATGCATCGGCCGACTCGAGGGTCGGGGTTCGAGGGTCGCGATTTGCGCGCGTTCTCGTCGTGATGCGCTCTGGCAGCTGCGCTTCGCCGTGCGCCGGCGTGCGCTTCTGGGTCTCCGCCCGGTGTCCGCCCGTCGCCCCGCCTCGTTGCCGCCTCGTGCGCCGGCGTGCGCTTCCAGACTCCGCCCGTTGGCCGCCCGCCGCTGCCTCGTTGTCGCCGTGTGGCCGCTCGTCGCCGCCTCGTCGCCGCCTCGCGCCCTGACATGCGCTTCCAGTCGTTCGTCAGGTGGTCGCCCGTCGTCGTCTCGTGCGCTGGGTGGCGGTGCCAAGATGTCGCTCAGTGGCCGCTCGTGGCTGACCGTTGCCGCCTCGTCGCTGCCTTGTCGCCACATCGTGCGCCACCGCAGGCCTTGCACCACAATGCTGTCACCACCTGCGTGCACCACATGGATTGCTCCACGTGACGCTTCCACTTCATAGCTTCCGCCACACGAGTTGCACTACATTGTTTCCACCACGCAGCTTCCACCACACAGCCTGCACCACGTTGGTCGCAACACATGCGTCCACCACAAAGCTTTACCCGCGTTGCTTCCAACATATAGCTTGCACTACGTAGCTTGCACCCCATATATTATACCACGCTGCTTCCACCACACAGCTTGCACCACATTGCGTCCACGATATGTAGCTTCCACTGAGTAGCTTCCACCACATAACTTGCACCACACTGCTTCCACCACCTAGCTTCCACGCCACGGCCTCCACTGCATACGCCTATACCCGAAGAAAACATATGGCTAATTGTACACCTATGCCAAGGTTGGAGTTATCGGCCCTATTTTTGTGGTTGTGGTTGCTGCTGCTCCTCCTCCTTTCATATGTATTTGGGACGATAGTTCAATTCTTTGTACAAGCCATATCATCCCAGTCAGGCTGGTATCGCCCCCCCCCGCGTTTGTTGGAAATAAAAATGCGTTGCTCGAACAATTGCGTTTTATAACAACTCCTACAACCTAATACCATGCAGACTACGTGCGCGCGAATGTCAATCATTCAAAAGCAAGTTTCCTAATGCTTACAAGGCATACCCATCAAACGAGTATCCAAACAATGTTGAGTTGTCAACGAAGAGCTGCCAGGTCGCTGCGCGCACGCACGAGCTGAAATCGTAATAACAGCATGCTCTGCCGTTCGGTCGAATGAGACCATGCGTGCCACACGCTCGCGCATGTCGAAAACGCAACAATCATTGCGCACCTGCCAGCTGTGTCAAACAATTCCATGCGGCCATGCGGGCGCATTTCCGCGCGCGCACGTCGAAATCACTCCAGAACCAAGGTTCTTCTCAGCGTTTCCAGACGGAGTTTTCCAAACACATAAGAATGCCGACCAGCCACTGGTTTTCAGTTAGAACAGGAATTCTGGATTTCTGCTCCGCGCTTGCTCAGTTCCTCATCATCCTCACTAGCACAATCATTATCGTCATCGCCAGCGTCATCATTGCAATCAACATCATCATCATCACCACCATCATCATCATCCTCCTCTTCATCATCATCATGACCACCACCGTCATCGTCTGCGTCGTCGTAACCACCGTCTCGTCATTGTCATCATCGCGACCTTCGATATTGTTAGCCTCCTCAACATCGCTATTGCCATCACCATCATCACCATCATCATCATTATAGTTATCATCATCACCATCATCAACATCAACGTCATCATCATCAACAACATCACCGCCACCAGCACCATCATCATCACTACCACCATTACCACCATCGTCATCATCATCATCATTATCATCACCATTCTCATCATCACTATCATCATCATCTTCATCATCACCATCATCGTCGTCATCATCATCATAATCATCGTCATCGTCATCGTCGTCATCATCGGCATCGTCGTCAACATCATAATCATCGTCATCGTCATCGTCATCGTCAACGTCATCACCATCGGCATCGTCGCCGATGTCGTCACCACCATCGCTCGCCCGAGTCGTGGATCTTCTTGAGCAGGATCCGCGCATCACTGCGAGCACGTTCCGATGGGTAACTGTACTCACGTTCTCCAGGAATTTTGCCCAGAAGTTGCGGGTGGGTGCGTGGGTGGGATGTTGAACCGAACATGGGAGCTGGTCACGCGCGGACGCCTACAGTTGATTGCACCGTACAATTTTGCACCACTCGGCTTTCGCCACGCCGCTTCCACCACATAGCTCGCACATCCACGTTGCACAAACTCATGGGTTTGGGTCCGCGCTGGCAAACGCACAGAAACATGTGTGTATCTATATCGTTGTCTTCGGCCTGTCCCGCCGCTGTGCCTCGGTCGTGGACAGGAGGCCTCTCAGAAGGCCTCTTAGGGGGCCTCTTGGAAGCCTCCCGGGGACCTCGTGCGGCCTCTTGGGGCCTCTTGGGGGCCCCTGGGAGCCTCTCGGAGACCTCCTGTGGGCCTCCTGGGGGCATGCTGGCGGTCTCGGAGGCCGTAGTCGAGGAAAGGGGTCGAAATGCGAGTTCGTGTTCCCCCTTTTGGGTCCCTCTTGGGGTCGTCTTGGGGGCCTCTTGGGCCCTCTTGGGCACCTCTGCACCCATGAAAATATGGGCTTTGCGAGGTTGTACAACTTCCTCTTCTTCCTCCTCCTCCTCCTCTGCTACTTGATTGCAGGCCGATGGGAAGCCACTCGTCGCCGCCAGAGAGGCTCATGTTTGCTTCACCGCGATGGCGCCAGCATCAATCGCACGATCGGGGAGAAGTGATGAAGGATGACGTTGAGGATGGGGAGAACGAGAGGGCGATTGAGGAGCGCGGAGTTCAGGCAGGCCAGCGCGCGCCACGCGCTCGACGGAGGTGCCACTGGAACAGGAGCGAATGGTGGCCAGCCAGCATGCTGTGAGACGGTATGGTCTGAAGTCCTGGGGAGGCCGGCCTGCCTTTGCGCACCACAGTATGCGGCTTTCCGGTCGGCATTGCCAGTTATTTTCTCCCCTTTGCCGCAGTGGACCCGCGCATCATAGCAGTGAACGAAAATGGATGAGGAAGGGATGATGACGATGATGTTGCTGATGCTGCTGACAACAACGACGACGATGATGATGCTGCTGATGATGATGAGGAGGATGAGGAGGAACGGGAGGAGGAGGAAGAGGAGGGTGATGTGAAGGAAGGGAGGATGATGAGGAAGGGATGATGGTTATGATGATGAGATAACGATGGTGATGAAGAAGAGGAGAAGGATTAATGCTGATGATGATTATGGAAATGGTGCTGATGCTGATGATGATGCTGCTCCTGATGATGATGATGATGATGATGATGATGACGACTATGATGACGATGATGACGATAATGACGGGGTTGACTAAGACGATGACGATGCTGGTTATGATGGTGTAAGTGATGACGGAGTGATGCAGCCGATGCTGCTGATTGTGATGATGAGGATGATGAGGATGACGACGATGAGAATGCTGATGATGATGAGGATGATGATTTCGATGGTGATGATGATTATGATGATGATGATGACTCGGACGATGATGACGATGCTGACGATGTTGTTGATGATGATGCTGATGCTGATGCTGATGCTTCTGATGGTGATGATAGTGATGATGATGATGATGATGGTGATGGTGATGATGATGCTGCTGATGGTGATGATGATGATGATGATGGTGATGATGCTGATGATGCTGCTGCTGATGATGGTAATGCTGCTGTTGATGATGATGCTGATGATTATGAGGATGATGATTATGATGATGACGACGATGATTATGCTGATGATGATGCTGATGCTGATGCTGATGATGGTGATGATGACGATGATGCTGATGACGATGATGATTCTGATGATGATGGTGCTGTTGATGATGATGATGCTGCTGCTGATGATGGTGATGATACTGATTGTGGTGATGATGATGCTGATGATGATGATGATGAGTATTCGCTGATTCCGACGACGATGAGGAGGATGCGGAGGAGGAGGGCCACGATGATAATGATGATGCTGTTGATGATGCTGACGACGATGATGATGCTGATGATGCTGCTGATGATGATGGTGATGCTGACTGTCGATGATGACGATGATGATGACGATGATGATGATGATGATGATGGTGCTGTTGATGATGATGATGATGCTGATAATAGTGGTGATGACGATGATGATGATGATGATGATGCTGATGGCGATCGTGATGATGATGATGATGCTCATGCTGATGATGCTGATGATGATGCTGATGATGAGGATGATGATGAGGATGATGATGATGATGATGATGCTGATGCTGAGGATGATGCTTCCGATGGTGATGATGTTGATGATGATGACGATGATGATGATGATGACGATGATGATGATGCTGATGATGAGGAGGATGATGGTGATGCTGATGTTGATGATGATGATGCTGAAGACGATAGTCATGATGATGATGATGCTGATGATGATGATGCTGATGATGATGATGATTTTGATGATGATGCTGATGATGATGAGGAGGAGGAGGAGGATGAGGATGAGGATAAGGAGGAGAAGGAGGAGGAGGAGCAGGAGGTGGAGGAGGAGGCGGCGGAGGAGGAGTGGGAGTGGGAGGAGGATGAGGAGGATGATGATGCTGATGATGCTGCTGATAATGATGATGATGATGATGATGATGATGATGATGATGATGATGATGATGATGATGATGATGATGATGCTGATGATTATGATGCTGATGATGATGCTGATGATGATGATGCTGATGTTGTTGATGATGATGATGGTGAATACGATATTCATGATGATGACGATGATGATGATGATGATGATGATGATGATGATGATGACGATGATGGTTTTGATGGTGATGCCGATGATGATGATGATGAGGAGGAGGAGGAGGAGGAGGAGGAGGA